TCCTCCCCTGCCATCTTGGACCACAGCATCCCTTAGTGTGTTCCAATGTTATCTTGGAGACTTGCTTCCAAGCGGCTGACCATTCACATAGCAAGTTTTTGTGAGCAAGTCCAAAGGATGATACCTTGTCCATAATGATGTTCTATGTTAAGTTGAGGAAAATGTATACAGAGAACTTATAAAATTCGGGGTGTTGATTAAGGTTCATCTCAAAACATAATCAACAGCTTGTCTCAAGCACCCTCCGTTATCTGATGCTTTTCAGATATGTGCTATAACATCACATCTTGTCTTTACCTCATCTTTTCTGTTTCTTGGCATAGACTCTTCATATTCTAATATGGCCTTCATTGACTGTGTCCATTGTGATTTATAAGATATTTTTATGGAAATATATAATGTTAATGAAATTTATATAAGTAACATGTATTAAAATATTTACATTTCTACCTTTAATCAACTTTTTAAATTTGAATTTTATCTCTCTCTAGTCTGTCAAAATCAATTATAATTCAGTGTAGGCTTTTTGTATTCTTTAAGAGCTGTGAATGAGTCAAATATGTGTGTGGGTTTTTCCAGTCACGCTTGCAGAGCTGGAGACAGGGCTCAGGGTTTAATAGCACTTGCTGCTCGTGCCAGAGACCTGAGTTTCATTCTGGGCACCCATATAATGGCTTCTAATTATCTGCAAGTCCAGTTCCTGGCGATCCAATACTCTTTTGTGGCCACTTCAGGCACCAGGGGTACATGTAGTGCACGTATGTATATGCAGACTCATACACAAAATAGCAATAAAGTAATTGTTTTAATTGTATCTTCTTACCATCTTATCATTTTTTACTTCAGAATTGCTTTTCTTAATTCCCGGCACTCTTAGCATTCTATCTTCCTGGATTTGGCCTTTAATCTTATCTCCCCTCCTCTTGCTCACATTGCTGTAAGGTGGGTACAGTTGTGAATGTGTTAGCATCATTTAATTGTGAGTGTTCCCTATTTGACATAAACTCCCTACAAATAACTTGATGGAGTCTTGCATTCTTTGTGTACTATGAATATCAAACCCAGTGATTATGTGGTTTAGATTTGTTTTATTTGGTTTATGGGCTGTCTTAAATTGTGGATGTTTTCGTTTTCATTTATAACTTAACACTTCTAAACATGTTCTACTTAATATCACAATGCCTTCCTAACACCTTTGCCATAAAAGTGAAGGAATCTTTATCAGCTCCATTATTTTTTATTTATGTTACAATCGTATTTTTTTCTATGTGTTTTCACTTTAAAATATATTTTCTATGGTAGAGACTGAGGCTTAGAAATGCAACTAGACAGATGTACTGACCACGGTTACCAAGGGAGCAGTTTCCTTGGCGATGGCCAACTGTCATCAAAGCAGTCCATGGTCTCTTTTCTTCCCATGTGACTTGCTCTCACATGTTTAAAACTTGGGTTCGGGGAAGAGGCATTTTTGTAAACCCTGAGCCTCTGGCTACCCAACATACCTCTGATTTTCACAGAGCACAGATGCGATGCTATGGTTTTTAAATGAACACCTTTCTAAGGCCAAATGCCACCATTCATCATTCTGGCCTCTGGCCTCTTACACCTTCCATTTCAATATCCTAGTCATTTGGAAAAGACACAAAATGCTTCAGCCAATGTCCAAGACCAAAGCTGCAAGAGATGCAATGGTAGAGGGATGTCTTTTGAAGAGTAAATATTTTTCTAGCATCTAAAATAAAAGGTATAAAAATTTGGCTGTTATTTTCAGTCACTGCATTGTTTCTCTGTGTATATTTCTGTGCGTCAAAAAAAAAAAAAGGGAGATTGAGGGAATATTAGTTCATTTTTCTCCATTGTGTGTGTGTGTGGCATGGGGAAATGGGACAATATCTCACCATGTCGCTTTGAAAGGCCTAGAATTCACTATATAGACTAGGTTGAGCAAGAACCCCAGGGATCTTCCTGCCCTTGTCTCCCAAGGGCTAGAATTAAGGCTTGTACCCCCACACCAGGCTAGAATTAATTCTTGTTTATATGCTTTGATTCTGTACCTAAAAATTTATGACTAAGATGAGATAAATTTTTCAATCATAAGAAAAGTTAGGAAAATATTCACATATATTCTTTCCTTTTTATTTCCTGAGACAGAGTATTGTCAAGTCCTCTAAACATGACTTGTAAACCAGGCTTGCCTCAAACTCTCAGTCCTCCTGTCCCAGCCTCCCTGGTGCTGGGGCTATTAGCATGCCCACTAAGGCTAGGATTCACTTATATTTTCGAACCAAGAAAGGCATAGATTGATATACAAAAGTACAGCAACACTATAGTTTCGCAGAGTATGGAACATAGTTGATATGGGTCTTGCTGCACGTGAAGCAATGGTGTTCAATGTCTATGTGTGCAATGTCATTGTTGGTGGTTAAAACCCCCATCTTACAGATTTTAAAATAACATTTTTTTATGTCTGAGAAAGAGAGAGCAATGAACTGATTGATGAACATGCACAACTAGTGGTGGGTGTGAGGATTTGAACTCTGAGCAGATGGTGCTTCCCTGGCTACATATACTACACTCCATTAGTAAGTGAGCTGATGGCCTTCAGTGTGTGTCAAGACAAACAGGTTGCTGCTGCTACTTTCCCTTGCCTAGACTCAGATGGTTGCAATCATGGGCAAAATGTAAGTTCTTGATGTTTTATTTCAGCTTAGGGTTGTAAAAGGGAACGGTAATAAGTTCTAATCATTTGTTTTCTCATTTTCCAGTATTTATTTTAATAATGGTATATATGACATTAATTATAATAGTCAAGAGATAGAAAAAACTAAATATTCACCAACAAATAATTGGATAAACAAACTGTCTTATAGTTATACAATGGAATATTATGCAGTCATAAAAAGGAATGAAGCATCAGTAAAAATAGCAACTAATGAAGCTTTCATATGGATAGCCTTCAAATGTGCATTTTATAAAGGCTTGGCCCCTATCACATGATACTATATGCAGAAACTGTTCTGATGCAATGCCTAGAGAAAGACTTTAGTCACTGGGGACAAGCACTTGAAAAACATATTGGGACCTCAGTCTCTTTCTCTTTCATACTATTAGCTATGAGGATCTATTTTGCCACACATAGCTGTTACCGTATGCTGCCTTGACCTAAATGCAGTTGCACATGCCAATAATGGACTGAAACTTGTAGAGAAATTTTAATCCAGCAACAAGATTGCTTTGGCAAGGGACCACACGACTTTAATCCCTCTGGCTGAAATACAGACATGTCCGTAGTATATACCCTTAATCTCTAAATGTAGGTAAAGTTAGTTCATAGAAGGAAGCAGCCATGTCAGCTAGTGATGTCTAATTTAGGTCCTGACAAAGTGACAAATCAGAGAAAGATTGGACAGAATGAGTCAGAAACAGGATATGCCCAACTCTTATGAGA